GGCAATTCTCCTGCCTCAGCCTCCTGAGTAGCTGGGATTACAGGCACGCACCACCATGCCCAGCTAATTTTTTTGTAGTTTTAGTAGAGACGGGGGTTTCACCATGTTGACCAGGATGGTCTCGATCTCTTGACCTCGTGATCCACCCGCCTCGGCCTCCCAAAGTGCTGGGATTACAGGCTTGAGCCACTGCGCTCGGCCTGTTGTTTTTGAGATGGAGTCTTGCTATGTCACCCAGGCTGGAGTTCAGTGGCGTGATCTCCACCTCCCACGTTCAAGCAATTCTCCTGTCTCAGCCGCTCAAGTAGCTGGGATTACAGGCATGTGCACTACCAAGCCAGGCTCATTTTAATTTTACTCTGTTGGCCAAGCTGGTCTTGAATTCCTGACCTCAGGTGATTCGCCCACCTCAGCCTCCCAAAGTGCTAAGGAGTATAGGTGTGGGCCATTGTGCCTGGCCAGTCCATTTCTTTCAAATTAAGCAAAGAAACAAGAACATTTATTCTTGCCTTCAATTTATAGAATTAGCATGGAAAAGAAAAAAAAGCACACTCAAAAAGAAAATACCCAAAATTATTGAGTAATGTCATTCAATAAATGCATAATTTTTCTTTTTTTCAAGAAGTTGTTTCTAAACTTCTCATTTGAACTTCAGAGTCATTAACTTTCTTCACTGAGTGTTTTTCTCCCTTTTGCATTAAAGAGGGAACCACAATGAAATGGTCTATGAACATTTTCTTGTCATCTTTTCTCAGCCATTTAAAATTCTCCTTCTGTTGAATCTAAATGTTCTTCTGTAACTGAAATCCCATTATGAATAAATAGGCTGGACTGTCTTCCCGTGAAACCTCAGGGAGCTCCTTCCGCCTTTCTAATCTTCATAGAACAATGTAAACATTTTCCAAGTGAAACCCTCAACGAATGCCTTTTGTTGATTTTCACGGAACTGTAAGGTTGCACAGGCAGTTAACTGGTGGTGGTTCTTTTAAAATCAAGCACCTCCAAAGAGAGCTTATTTCAAAGTATGTATCTTATAAAGTGAATTTAAAAGAAACTGACAGGAGTTGTCTCTTTAAATACATATTAAAAAGATAAGTCAACACATAGTGCTGTTGTTTGAAGAAATGGGCTCACCTCTTGTGCTTCCTCTCAGGAAATTAATTAGAATGGATTAACCAAGAAAACTGAAAAGAGAGACTTGTCTTGCCTTTGTGTTTTTTTTTTTTTTCTTTCCCCTCTCAGCCCCAAATATATCTGAATGTGTTTACTTGAAATCCGGATGTGGAAAGTTTTTTGAATTAATTTTAAAGCCAAAGACACAGAATAACTTTCTGTAGTATGCAGAATCACAGGAATATACTCTGTTCAGAAATGCTTTTTAACTTTTATAATAAAGTTGAATGGTGACTGTAATGATAATTTACCCAAATATTTATTTCTAAGTGAAGAAAATGGAGACATTAAAAAAAAAATTCAAGGCTGAGCATGGTTGCTCCTGCCTGCATTCCCAGCACTTTGGGAGGTCGAGGCGGGCGGATCACCTGAGGTGGAGAGTTCGAGACCAGCCTGACCAACATGGAGAAACCCCATTTCTACAAAAAATACAAAAAATTAGCCAGGTGTGGTGGTATATGCCTGTAATCCCAGCTACTCGGGAGGCTGAGGCAGGAGAATCACTTGAATCCAGGAGGCAGAGGTTGTGGTGAGCTGAGATTGTGCCATTGCACTCCAGCCTGGGCAACAAGAGGGAAACTCCTCTCAAAAAAAAAAAAAAAAAAAATCAAAGATTATTATGTATTTTACTTAATGAGGCAAAGCCTCTATTACTAACTTTCATATATATAAAAAATATATAATGTACATTATATATTTTAAGACAGGGTCTTGCTCTGTCACCCGGATTTAAGTGCAGTGGCATTATCACAGCTCACTGCAGCTTCCTGTGAGTTCAAGCCTCCTGTGAGCTCAAGCGATATTCCTGCCTCATCCTCCTGTGTAGCTGGGACTACAAGCATGCACCACCACACTCTGATTTTTAAAAATTTTTTCTAGAGACGGACAGGGTCTCACTACACTGCCCAGGCTGGTCTGGAACTCCTGAGCTCAAGCAACCATCTTGCCTTGGCTTCCCGAAGTGCTGGAATACAGGCATGAGTCACTATGCCCAGTCCAGTTTCCTTGACACAAAGGATTAACTCAAAATCTGAGTGTACCTGGGGCTAGGAGAGGAACAGCATGGGGTGGGGAGGGTGGGGAAGGATAACATGGGGAGAAATGCCAGATATAGTATGCACCTATGCAACAATCCTGCATGACCTGCACATGTACCCCAGAACCTAAAGTAAAATTAAAAAAAAAAAAAAAATCTGAATGTACTTGATTCAACTTAGAAAAAATACATCACCGGGCACAGTGGCTCATGCCTGTAATTCCAGCACTTTTGGAGGCCAAGATGGGTGGATCACGAGGTCAAAGATCGAGACGATCCTGGCTAACATGGTGAAACCCTGTCCCGACTAAAAAATACAAAAAATTAGCTTGGCATAGTGGCAGGTGCCTGTAATTCCAGCTACTCTGGAGTCGGAGATTGCAGTGAGCCGAGCTCGTGCCACTGCACTCCAGCCCTGGCAACAGAGTGAGACTCCATCTTCAAAAA